AGCCGGTCAGATCAAGGGAATTCGGTCCTGACCAATGGTCCCTCTAAACTGTGGAGTCTTGTGAGCAAAAATTCTACTTTGTGAGCACCTGGCATTAAAGTTGTGAGTGAGTGATTTTGGCTACTGCATAAATCAGTTTACTCTGGAGCTATCCTTCCTGAGCGAAGACAAAAATGTGTTTGGTGGAGGCTAAAAGCTGTGAGCTAGCTCACACTAACTCAGCTTAGAAGAAACACTGGTCCTGGCTCATCAGAAAACATGACATGTAGTTTGGCTCTTATTTGACAGCTATTGGTGAAGACATTTTTCTGCTTGAGATGCCTGGTGTTAGTTGGAACAGATATTCATGAGCTATATGGGTCTGTGGTTTTACTTAACACCCTGCAGTTTAACATATTCAGTTCGCTTTAGCTGTTGTAAGCCGTCCTGAGCGGTCCTTGGCCGGGAGGACGGGATAAAAGTTTAGCAAATAAAAAAATAAAATAATATCTATTGTACCTTCCATTTGAATTCTGCACATCAGCTAAGAGTATACTGCCAGTGCAATTGCAAACAGGGACACACTTCTAAGTCTATTGACATCAATGAGCTAAGAAGAATTTAGCTCTCCTTAGGATTGTTCTGTGAGACACCTACACTTTGTTGGCAGAGTAATTAACACAGCAACGGTGCACTACCTGATTAAAGAGCAGATAAAGGTTTATTTAGGAGTTAATATACTTGATAGGAAAGAGGAGAGAGAGAGATAGGTTCCTAACTTCATCTCTAGCAGAGAGAGGGTGATACTAAGTGTGGCACTTTTGAGAAGAAGGGGGAAATTGCCCTGAGACTAGTAGAGACAGACAAGGAATGACATTTAAAAGGAGAGAAGGTGCTGACCTCACTATCCTATCTAATTGTCTTCTTGCTGCCCCCTGCAGGGTCTTCTTCTCTTCTTCTTTGTACACCAGACATTGCCTTTTCCAACACACTTAAACTCATCCCCTGTCATGCACTTGCAAGGCTCAGGCTATTGATTCTGTCATCAGAATATAACAAAATAAAGCTTTGCCCAGATCACTAAGTGGCATATTTCATTTCAGTTCTGTTTTTCAGTGTTAGAAGTGATCTTTATTTTTTTCCCTTTACAAATGTCTTTCTCTGGAAACTGCAGTCTTTTTAAAATAAATGCTGAATTTGCACAATTGCATTCATACCCAAGTTTACGCAGTGCAGGAGGAGGAGGAGGAGGAGGAAGATCTTTTCTCAGAATTACTAAATGGCCAGGACTTGGCCATGAAGACAGAAACACGAAGACCCCTTCTTCCCAGCCCTGTGGCAAAATCTTATTACCTAAATATGCACTGTCAAGTCACAACAAACTTATAGAGAGAGACCCCAGCAAGGGGCTTTCAAGGCAAGAGAGAAGCAGAGGTTTGCCATTGCCTTCCTCTGCAGGGACTTCCTTGGTGGTCTCCCATCCAAGGGCTGACCCTGTTTAGCTTCCAAGATCTGATGAAATCAGGCTATACCATGCCACCTTCCCTCTCAAAATCTCATTAATATGTTGGGAGAAACCCTGTGAAGTAGAGCATAAACAATGATGTCATGGGTGCTGTGTAGACTCCACTCCTTATGCAAATATCTGAGGTACATTGTGCACAAAAAGGGGACTTTGTTACATTAAGTTCATTATGCACACAGACTTAAGTTCATTATGCACACTGACACGACAATAGTCCTTCTGCTATCCCCCCTTTCTCTTTTAGTTTCATTATCGTTCTGTAGTACAGCCATTAAAAAAATATAATGAGTGAAATTCCACTCAAAACTAAAGCAGAATGAATGAGAACCATGGAGGAACACCCCACCCCCCATGTACAAAAGCTACAGATTTTAAGTGATAGACAAATTCTATTGGGCGGTACTTACTTTTTGCTCTTGCTGTGCTGAATAAGGCGCAGGATAGACTGAACACAGGAAACAACATCTGCAGAAACAGGCACATTTCTCCTCCAGAACTGATCTTCAGGTTGTGTCGCCTGGATTGAAAGAGCAGGTAGTAAGGACTGGCTTCAAAAGGAACTTGCCCTGCCCATCTAAACAAGGATGCGCCTAACTCTAATTACACTCAACATTTTAACATCAAACATAGTTATAACGATTTGCTAAAAGGAACAGGACACATGTACGTAACCCCACGACTGAAAAGTACTGTCAAAAAGATAGTCAAGCGTTTTTAATGTATCCTTCCTGGCTGATCTCCAGATCATCAACCCCAACACTCAGACAGTTCTGCTAATTTATTTTCCTTTGCCAGTTTGACGAATGACATAATGGTTGTAAGTGAAAACATTGCTGCGGTTTGCTGCCTTTGCTGATGTTTTTTTTTTTTAATGCACTTTAAAAAATCTTGAAACATATTAGCCGTATGAGGATACAGATGGCTTTGTTGTGGTTCAAAATTCTTGGTGGCTTGGATAGCCTGGCTTAACCCAAGCTTGTCAGAGCCTGGAAAGCTAAGCTCATGGTTAGTACTTGGAAGGGAGACCACCAGGGAACACTGGGGTCGCTATCCAGACTAAGGCAATAGCAAACCGCCTCTGCTCCTCTCTTGCCCGCAATAGCCAAGGATTGGGAACACCTTGAGTCAGTTGTGACTTGATGACCTGTTCTTCTTCTGAAATATTAATTTTCTTGGGGGCAGGGGGGACACCAACCCGTAAGCTAAGTTAATTATATTATTTACTGTTTTGAAATATCCAGAGTTGTTTTTCAGTACACAATGATTTTTTTAGTTGTTAATCTCATTGTAATGATCCAAAACCACCCATACTCCTATCTATCTGAGCAGCATATTAAAAGAAATCTTCCTGCTCTCAAACATAATAACCTATATCACACACCACACTGAGGGTGAATTGGAATAACTCTATACCTTGTAAAATACTCAGGGGTCATTTCCTGCGGGAGCGCACAGGAGCGAAGCTCCGGCAGTAAAGGGCCCAGGGGGTGGGCACATGCAACAAGCCCCACCCCCTGCTCCCAGCAGCCCTCAATCAGAGCAAGAAGCAGCCCGGTAAGTTGCAGAGCCCCCCCCCCCAAAAAAACAGTCCAGTGGCACCTTTAAGACCACGTTTTATTCAGGTACAAGCTCTCCCTCCTCTGCGAGGACAGATCTGCACGCCCCCCCCAATAGCTAGCAATCCAAAACAGTCCAGTGGAGCCTGAGCGGTGGGTGTTGCCTTCTGACACACTTCCGGTGATGTCAGGGTGTGTGGCATATGCAAATAAGCTATGCTAATGAGTTACGCTAATGAGCTCCTGCACCACTTTTTCTATGAAATGACCCCTGAAAATACTATAAACATTATATAAGAAACAAAAGCAAGATAATACCATTTAAAATACCATGGAGCAAGGACAAATTACATGAAAACATTCATGACTTTGCTAACTACACAGGTATTTCTTGGTGAATAAAACATTTTTTATTTCTCAAAATGGAAAAGAGTACCATCTTGTTGAGTCTATTTAATAGTTCCCAAATTTTCTCAGTTCTCTCAAAATTTATTCTTATGTCATGTTCTATAGAGTCTTACTACAGCATGACCACAGAGCAGAAACTGGAAAAATGGCAGGGGACGAAGAAGGGTAGAAGGACCCAGTTCTTGGGCTTGTAGTGGTGCCAATGTCCAGCAAGTAAATGAGTTTCAGAAAGGAAGGAGGCAATGCATGTTGCCTTTCTCACCTTTCCTGAAGCTAGTTGCTGTGTTGCTGGAAAGGCCGCCAGGGTGGCAGGCCATAAAAGGGATTAAAAATTAGACATGCCACATACAAATACTGCTATTATCTGAAGATCACATTGTTCCAACTTCAGCAGTGCCTCATAGATCTATATCTACAGTACTAGCAGTAAAGCCCGTTGTGAAAGCAATACAACGAGATCTAGAAAGAGGCTCTGGGGCAGTGCTCTGGCTTTGGGCAAACAGTGTCAATATGCCGTGGTGACCTCAGCAGGGTATAATGACAGAGTCCACCGTTTTCTCCAGAGGAACTGATCTCTGCTACCTGAAGAGCAGTTGTAATTGTGAGTGATCTGTAGCCCTCACCTGGAGATTGGCAGCAATTGTTACCCAGGACAAAATGGCTGGTTTGGAGGGTGGAGGGGCAACCCCATCTCCTTCCCAGCTAACCATCAACCTACCATTATCTGCCCCTTTGACTTCAGCTGACTTCTGCCCTCCCTTCTGCAGAGCAGTTGTAATTCTGAGTGCTCTCCAGCCCTCACCTGGAGATTGGCAACAATGGTTCCCTATGTGAGACTGACTGGTTTGGAGGGTGGAGTCTATGGCAGTGTACCTGTCTGAGGTCCCACCCCTCCTCAAACCTCACCCTCTTCAGGCTCCATCCC